CCCAATCATCGGTGAACGAAACTGTGGCAGCTACAACCACTGTACGATGAGTACGCGGTTCTTACAGCTGACAATGATGATGATGATGATGACTCAACAGAAGTAAGCAAATGAGACAGTGTTGTCGGTGGTGGATACAGCAGGCTTGTAGAAACAGATTCGGGCAAAGCAAATCACCCGGTTAGGAAAATTGAGTGATTTCGCGGCAAACTTCCCGAGTAGGGCTACACAATGTAACATCCTTGGGTTGCCACACATCTCTAGAAAAGATAGGAATGTTATTCAAGGTCATATACACCCAGATAACAAGTACCGCAAACAAGGACAGGTCTCTTGGTATGCGCTTCAATGTCAGTCGTATCCAGCGTCAAAACAGAAGCGATACAAGCGAAGAGCACCAACCAACAAACTAGAACGCACATGAAGCGCGCATTCAAGTGGGCACGTGGGTACACCTCAAAGAGTCACGTACGGATGTTACTGCTTCGGTGATAAAAAAAGCGATCTGGAGAAACAAGACGACGAGTTTTGCTATATATCCATAGGACAGAGGACGCAGCGGCTAAATAATAAAATAATTGTTCAGCTGTAGCACCCTTTCGGTGCCTAGCTGCCATGCCACCCGAAGGAAGCACGAGGGCTGAGATACTGCCAGGTTGCCCCAGCCTAGACAGGGGAAGTCGAGAGGCGGGGGTCGGGTTCGAACCACGGGCCTTCCGGTCAGTAAATTCGCGCTCTAACCACTTGAGCCATCTCGCCCCCCACTCAGCGGCTAGCACCACAGTGAAGAACACGCTTAGACGAAAGGCCGTTTAAGCGATGGGTCGTCATGTGGAAGTACTGGACAGAAAAATCACATATGATCAGTACCCACCTCTTTCCATTACTCCATAAAGGACAACCTGGAGAAATGGTATTTCCGGATGACCGCACCACAGTGCATACTGACTCATTGTCGAGATCATAGCACAACCCGCGTACTATTTGGTTAGATTATTCCGTACAAACGTATGAAGATGGATCCTTTAGAAAACGTGTGGAGAGGAGACACAAGATCTGCAAAAGCACTTTAATACCGTTAATGGAACGTTAATCGTCGATGGACAGGGGGACTCGAAAGCGAATTTGATGGAGAAATTACGGTGAAACTAGGCTGAACTTATGCTGAAGTGCACTCGTTTTCGTCCCTAGTTCACTGTCCTCATGGGCGTTTCAAACCCATCTAACACGCGACGTACTTAAAGGATGTTGTAAGTAGCATGGTTCATGACGAAAACACAGAGTTCTTATTGTTTGACATACTCGTCAAAGGGACTTTCTCAACTATTGAACACTCGTTTTTCAACCACCTTGGCGATGACGTTTCCTTGTGCGGTGATGAGGTTCAGAGGAAATTTTTAAATGGAACGAAAAGTTAGAAAACACAAAATAAAAACCAAAAGACAAAAGGTGATATCGAGGTTAAGTGAACCTTCAACTTTCAGGTTGCATGCTGGTTTCTGGTGGGTGTTTATCGTCCAGTTTGCATAAGTGTATTTCAGGTTTACATAAATGGACGGGAAAGAGGGTAACGCAGACTAATACACCAAAAAGCAGCTACTTACCCACTCCAAAAAAACTTGTGCAATTAGGGGAGCGCACGAATCAATCTCTATGGCACGAGAAAGTCGCAAAACGAAATCTGTAATGTGAGAGTTGGAAGGAACCTTGCAGTATTTCTATAACTTACCTTCAAAAACAGGTAACAGTCTATCAATGGTATAGAAGAGTTTGTGAATTTCGGTGGGCTCTAGGATAGAAAGGCGTCGAAGCGGTTCCATGTAATACTAAGAGACAAAAAATTGTGAAACCAAACAGCCGACCAGTACCTTAACAGCCGTAATCAAGTCAAGCATATGTTTGCATTCGCCGTCATAAAATTCCTCAACAAGCTGCAGGTATGAACGAACAACCAGTAGTGGAAGACCACAAGAACTCACCTGAATGCGCTCCAGAATGCTTTTTGATGGTGCTGATCTGAGAATCGCAACCGCCGGAGTACAAATACTTGGACTGCACATAGCAAACTTTGGTGAGTCGGGTGAACCAGGACAATGGAGAAATCATATGGTGCGATGAAGTTCGTCTCCGATTTCAACTTGCTTCCTGAAGTGCGTCGTTTAGCGTTAATAGTATGATCGTCTCATTAAGAAAGACTAAGGGTAGCATCCACCGAATGTAGCAAAAGAGCAATTGGAGAGAATCTATAAGACAGAGGCTGTCCAAAGTTTCCAGAGACCAAAATGGGGACGTCAAGAAAGGCCAGAACTAACATGTAAGTCAATTTAACATAAGAAAACCACAAGAACCAGAATATCCATTTACACAACCAAGTCACTCACCACTAGCCATCCGTTCCCTCAACTGCTTTACTTACAGTGGGACATAAGGACACAAAATACTTACGCCTAATCCGGTTGCCTTTGAGCAGAAAATATTCAGGTGGATGATACTCATGGTCATAGCTCTCAAAGCCGCGTTCCTGCGAGGCCTAGAGACTGGTAAATACCGTTAAAAAGCATCCGTATTACATTGGATTTACTTTACAAACCTACCGTGTTGCTTAGTACCACTGAAGGAGTTCTTTCTTCAGGCCAACGGAAGGGTGGAACTTTTCGATGTAACTAAAGAAAATTAAGACTTGTTTCTCCTATCACCTTCATATACTTCAGCCTCTGTATTGTTTGTTCCGATCTCGCGCGATCATCCGGCTGGAATTCCTTCAAAATCCTAAAGGATACTCCTAAATAAATTGCGGAGAACAAGTCGATGAATTTTCTCCAAAAACCTACACCAACTCCAATGGAGCGGACTTAATTCCACGTACATTTGCACTGCCGAATGGCAGAGATTAAGGTTCGGTCCCATATTTCAGAACAAACCAACATAAGTGAGGTGTAAAACAATATTTTACGACAGTGCACCGAAACTTGATGGACCGAGTATCCCTTTCCGGGATTCTAGTGTAAGAGAGAAAAGGAAGAACTACATATATCCGAGAAGCACATGAGGAATGTTCAAGCATTATGTGCATAAATAGTCAATCTAAAGATCACCGTTAGCAACTCCTACACCACTCCTGTACGAGTCATCGCTTCTGGATCACCGGACGCATGGAGGGAGAAGTGAGAAAGACCTAAGTCCGTCTTTGATGTCCTGATACACATAGCCACGCTTGGGTCTTGCTTGCACGTTTCAGAGAGACGGCATACATAAATTTTGAGGGATGTCTGGGGTTCAAGTCGCGTCACGGCCATTGGATATGCACTGCTGACGAGCTCTAATAAGAGCGAAACTCGAGTCTGGTGTTTCGGTTTGGTGTGGACTCATCATAATAATTACGCTAGAACAGGAGGGCGGCCGTTCAAACGAGTGGCATGAATATGAATAATTTTGAGTACTGTCTGCTCCTATGCAGAAAGAATCTCGTGGATTTGTCAAGGTGTTGTTTTTTCGTCAATAGACAATGGAGTGTATAGGTCCCATCGATTAGACCCAGAAACGTTTGCTCGTGGGGTGGGGAAAGAGGTGGAGGGGAGATCGGTGGACACGTAACTGGACGCAGCTAACTTGGACAGTGAACTTGAAACCCCTGAAGGCTTCGGAAATAATTGAATGTATTTGGCCCCTCTAGCGTAATCGAGCTGCCGGCTTTGACGAAGTCCCGTCCGCTATGTTCAAGCGTGGGAGTAGTGACCCCGGTCGGTGTTTACCCATCTTCATTTTTTCTGTGGGGGGAGAGGACGTTCCAGCTAACTTAGATTAGTCGACAGTATAGTGCCCGTATTCAAGAAGAATGAATGCAGTGCGTGTGGAAGGGAAATGAGTTTGGCTCCTGTTGTAACCGCCGTTTGCGTCGCTTATCTTGCGTCATTAAAATTTTAATGAGGCACATGGAGAAGTGACCCAATCGTGTTGTTAAGAACGGCGATCAGGATTACGGCCGAAAGGAACTGTATGGACCATGTCTTCAAAATCCGCCAAGAGTTAGGGCGACGATGTGCGTACTACATGCGTAAAACATGCGTTCGATTTTGTCGACCGGTGAGTTTTTTAAACGTGCTTGCGCAGTTGGCTACGTCCCGGAAATTCATGAACACCGTGTGCTCTCTGTTTACGTACTTGATGGCGCTTGGGATGTATGAGGATATTTCAAAGGCTTTCCTACAAGCAGAATTGTCCGGAATGTAACTCTCTATCTTTTTTTGGATTCACTATCGATGGGGTTATAAGATGAACACGGAAAGGGTTCTAAAACAGATCTCTTCGTGTCAGGAAGGTCAGGTTTCTGAAAATAATCCCAGAATGCACGAAACTTACCGAAGCCTTCAAAGCCCTTTGAAATCGCGGCAAAAACGCCCTCAGCCACCCGGGCCAGAAAAGCCAACTGCCGATTGGGCGTCCAAGCAGCCAATCAGGTTAGCAACAACCGGTGATGCTAGGTGTTCGTGCATGCCATACAAGCAACGCTAACTTATCACCCAACGTCGATGAGAGCCGATTCTTGTGCACGCCAAACCCGAAAACACGATTGGTTGAAATAGGCTTAGTCACCCAAGCTAACAATATTTGGGCACATTACCAAAGGCTTCCACCATTTGCTGTCCTTGGACGTTTTGTGTACTAACATTGGGCTGTGTTAAAAAGGGTGAGTCCCCGGTTTGAGTCCGGAGTCAGTCGCCAGACTACTTTCCCACGGAAAAGAAAGTGCATATTTCTCCTGCAAGCACATTCTCTCGTGAGCACAATCGTAAAACAGTCTCAAGATGTATGCCGCCAGAAATAACGTTGATGTTATTTCTTAGAAATGATATAACTTCTAAGGCACACTGAATCACAGAACACTATTAGTTTAACTGACGGTCATTGATCCACGGTGTAAAAATATGATGGACCAATAGTGAAGCAACTGTAAGTTCCGAATGTGTAGGGTTTAAGATATTTAGGTATGACCATTGCTATACATTCGAAAACATAGATGTCGATCTCCTACTGAACGAAATGGTATTAGGAGTCATAAGGAAGTCGCATAAGGGAGGAATCGATGAGGAGTGCCCTAAACTACACAGACACGTTTCGCAATGTTGAGTTAACCTATTCAGTTGATAAACATAGGTTGAACACATCCCACGTGGAATATGCGCAGATTTCCTGTAACAAATTCCCTAAACTCTTTTGGGCTTTTTTTCCGCCTGCTTAAATACACCATCTTTAATTTATGCAATTTATTCGTTTAAACCGTTCTTCACCTTGGCCGGAATTATTTTTGGCTTGACTACGGGATTTTCGGAGTTGAGAATGCTTCCGTGGTATGTTGGTCATTGGTTTTTATTTAGTAAGCAAAAGTTCAAGGTCACCGAACAAAACCGATCCACATTTTACCACTAGTTTATGGCGTAAGGCGCGAAATCACGCCCAAGCCTATTTTAGAGTTCCGCTGTCTTCTTAAAAGGTGAGATAACCATGGCAAATATCTGAATCACGTTTGTGTTTTATACTCCACGAACGTAACGAATGAGCTGAGTTCGTTCAGGGAAGAAGCTCATCTTCCATTATGCCTAACAATGGAGGACAGCGGTAGTGCTGCGAGTATGATCTCTGTTTATGATCCCACTTCTTAGATGTGCAGAAGCAGTCAGTAAACGGTGCAGCCTTATTAGATATCTACGTGTGAATTACCAACACAACGATATCTTTCCCACTAGAAATGATCATGCTTCCTGGTTGAAATACGTCATAAATTTCAGCTACATTGAGGGTATCATAGCTGTATGGGCTCTCATCCACCTTTTACAAATTATCGTAAGTCCTGGGCCCGTGCCCACTCGCGATGCTCAGTATGGCGCCCCAACTATATATTTTGGCATAAACCCAAGGTTAACGACCTCCCTCCATTCTCATAACTGTGTACGTCTTAGTTTATTTTGGCTACTATCGCGACTGCGTGCCCATACTCATGCCCGAAACAGGTCATTGGGCCCCACTTGTGCATGATGGTCTAATCCAGTGGCCAACGACGATCCTCCATACTCACACATGTCCATCATCCACAGGCCTGAAAATTACACAACCGCCTCTGACAAATCGTCAGTAATGATTGGTCGCATTCGTACATAGGTAATGGGTAACATTCTAATTCTCGTGTTGTCCACTGGAAGCACACCCTCCGAAACTATGGGGATTTCGAAACTGCGACCTACGGGTGCTGGACGAATCCCTTTGCACCGTTCGGCGGTATGTTGCTCATAACGGTTTGTCAAAATGAGCGAATTTTCATGGTCACGGGCCATCACCGATTTACATTTTACTACCGATTTACGGGAGATAAACCACTAATAGCGTCTACAGACTATCCATTGCGAATTCCATCCAAGAAAATCGCTCGACAACGTTTGCGTGCTTTGTCCTCCTCAGATTTAACAAACGAGATGCGTTTGTTCAGCGAACTTCGGCGAAACGCAGTTTCCCGGTGTGATTGCCACCTTTTAGTTATAAGTGTTAGACAACTACGTGAATTGCGCAGGGGCGATGCGAGGTCCCTTTCTGTTGATGATCTTCCCCAGAAACGCATGAATAGCCCACGGATAATGAGGTGCCACGAGATAACTGCAGGAATGTTACCAACACAAATTTATCATTCCTATAAGAATATGATGCTCCATGATAGGAATAGGTCATGAAGAGCAAATATATTTATAGCAACTGAGGCATCCATTTCCGATCACCATGATGACGGTTGTCGTTATCACTCATGTAGGCTACTTATCGTAACTGCAGGGCCTGGCGTTATGTGTGGTACTGATTACGAAGCCTCATCTATCCACAGTAACCTAATGCAATGGTCAACGGTGGTATGCATTCTAATGTGTTAACGTTTTCGTTCCTCTTGGCTATTTGCAGTCACCGCCGGGCGCATAATCATGAACGCAGCTGATTAAGGAGCCACAAGTATACATGGTAGCCGAATTCAACGACCAGCGATAGCACTTTGCATCACTACATGATGTTTGTCTGCCAATCT